TATATATATATATATATATTAAGAGCAAGATTTTTGCTATAGGGCACATGCACTCGCCAGAGACACAGAGATACTGAAAGCAAGAAATCACCCCCTACCATGGGGGAAGGCCATGTCACAATCCCTTCTCCTCCATTCTCCTCTTGGGATCTTGGGCCTGCACGCACACACACCCGGTGTGAGTTTTAAGCTACCAGGTGCATGACTCGAACTGCAGTGGACCACTTGGGAGTCCAGCAACATAATCATTATGCCATCTGCTGGCCCCTTGTTTATATGTTTCAATACATAAAGAATTGAGCTGCTATGATAGATCAGGCTGCTAAAGATGTGCCCATCTTCTACTATAGAATGTAAGCATGCTGTGTAAAAATACAACAAACATTTTAAAAATATATAAGTATAGCTGAGATTGAAAAGTATTTCTGTAGAGGTTAGAAATAAATTGAGAGGGGCTAGCAGATGGCGTGGTTGTTAGGGTGCTGGATTCCCACTTGGCCGACCACAGTTCAAGTCCCAAAGCTGACAGCTTGCTTTCTCACTTTCTCTTTCTCTCCCTCTGGTCAAATTAAAAAAATAAAATAATAAATAAAATTAAATAAATAAATAAGTCTTTTTAAAAAATTGAGAAATCCAAGCCAAAACAGTAATCCTAGGAAACGACCCGACATTTTGTCCTCAGATATACGTCCTGAGTGCTGGGATGGGACTCCCTGGGCTATGCAAGGTAAGAGGACAGGAACAGGTCGTTGATGGAGAGGAGTAACTGAAGGATTGCTTTGCCCAGGGATGGGCTGGGGGAGAGATGGGGACACTCGTCATACGACGTCAGTGTGGTATATGATGAGCATGGACTTTAGAGACAGGCTGCCTGGGTTTCAGGCCTGGTTGTGAACCTTTCAATGTAGCAGTCCATTCCCACTTCAGAAAAATCCACCTTTGATTTCTCTTAAATGAAGTACAAAATCACATGGAGAAAATATTTTTTGTTTAATTTAGGTATTGCCAGAAGAAAAGTTCTCCTCCTTATTGGTAGTCTAGACAGCAATGGAAATGTTACAGTATTAAAATTAAAAAATTTTTTTAATGCTAATAATTTTCATACAATGATAATCATATGTGTATTTTTGTTAATAATACCACTGCAGTCAACTCTTTGAATTTATTCCTAGAAGAGTGGAATTTGAGTGAAGCTGCCCTTTTTTTTTTTTTTTTCTTGTAATCATAGTGCATGTGCCCACCAGAGAGAGAGAGAGAGAAAGCATTGCCCACCCAGGCAGGGATGACCACATTGATTGTAATCCCTCTCCTCCATTCTTCTCATGGGATTTTGGGGGCACAGGCTGGGTGAGTTTTTCAAACTGCTGGGTCTGGTATGAAATAGCGCAGTGGTCATGTGGCATCCAGCTACCTTAACTACCATACCACCTGGCTGGCCCTCTTTTTGTTTCTTACAGTTACAAGGGTGATTTTTATGTATAAAAAGTCTGGCATGAGGGCCAAACAGCAGCAAGGCCACAAAGGGAGTACTCTGCAAGGTTGACCCACATGGAAGGGTTCTAGGTTTGTGTCTGGAGACCTCCTTGAGTCCACTGGGCATGCTGTGCTCATGATTCAGGGCTGGCTGGAGCTGGGCTGAAGTCGAACAGCTCCCACGACCTTGATAAGTCACTGTCTCTCTGCCTCATTTTCTCTTACTCTCTTTGTCTCTGCCTCACTAATAAACAAGTTAGATGAATAAATTTTGAAAAAAATAAAGAAAGAAAAGATCTAGCATGGAGCCCAGCATGTGGTAGAATTCATATAGAATTTTACTAACAAGAAATACTATAGAAACCAAAGAAATCTATATTATAGAAATTAACTATCACTTCCTGACTATCAAAAAAAAAAAAAAAAGTCCATGGGACTGGTAGTTAGTGTAATGACTATGTCACTGGACTCCCACATAGTCAACCACGGTTCGCGTCCCAGACCCGGTGGCTTGAACTCATGCTGGGCGTATGTGCGTGCACGCCCAGGATCCCAGGAGGAGAATGGAGGAGAAGGGATTGTGGCGTGGCCATTCCCCCCTGGGAGTGATTTCTCGCTTTCTATCTCTGTCTCTGTCTGTCTGTCTGGTGAGCGCACATGCCCTATAGCAAAAACCTCTCCAAAAAAAAAAAAGTCTATTAAAAATGGATCAGCAGGTGGTGTGGCAGTTAAGGTACTGGATCCCACATGGCCAACAGTGCTGTTGAAGTCTTGGACCCTGAAGCTTGGAATCGCGCCAGGCACATGTGCCTGCATGCCCAGGATCCTGAGGAAGACTGAAGGAGAAGGGATTATGGCATAGCCATTCCTCTTTGGGTGTGACTTTTCACTTTGCCTTTTTCACTGTGTATCTGTCTCCAGTGAGCGTGCACACCCAATAACAAAAAAATTAAATTAATTAATTAAAAGGTCATAAAAATTATTGGCTCTTATAACAGCAAATCTGTCTGGCTAAGAAAAATGAAAAAATAATAATTTACTGCTTCTTCTATGCCAAATCCCTGGGTTTCCCTAGAGTATCCAGGGCAAGTATACAACTTAATATGCTTCATTCACAAAGTTTGGTAGGGAGATGGAGGTCTTTGGTCAGCACAGTATGAAACTGCCTATCATCAGTGTAGTGGTACTTAAAGGGCTCCTGCCCAAATATATTACTCTCTTCCCTCAACTTAAAATTTGCATTTGCACACCTCTTACTGGCAGAGCAGCTACCATAGAATAGAGCAGTGGAGAGATAGGAAGGACCCAAAGCAGCTGGAGTGAGGAAAGCTCATGAAGAAGCTGAGCACAGAACCAACCCAACGTCCTCAGAGGAGAAGTTTAGTCCATGGGGCAGAGAATAATAGAATAATGGTCAAAACATTTGACTATATCGAATGAGGTGAGAGAAATGGACATTGTCAGAAAGGGTCAAAGTGCATTCTTTATTATTTATTTATTTATTTATTTATTTATTTATTTTTGCCACAAGGTGCATATGCTCACTTGATAGAGAGAAACACAAAAAAAGAGAGGGAAAGTGAGAAATTACCCCCAGGGTGGGGATGGCCATGCCTCAGTCCCTTCTCTATTCTCTCTTTGGGATTTTGTGCACACATAGGCATGGACGCTCACATGCCTGGCATGTTTTTCAAACCGCCGGGTCTGGGACTCAAACCACAGAGTTGGCCATGTTGGATCCAGCACCTTGACCACCATACCACCTGCTGGCCCCATAAGCATGCTTCAGGACTGGTGAATATTTGGAAATTCAAGTAAATATCAACATTGGGCAAAGCCACCTGCAGAACAAGGCCCCACTTGCAAAGTTGGGACTCAATATGGTTCAGCCTCACTGGAGGACAGAGAAAAGCCAAGGCAGAGGGAGTAGGCTGGGGCACATTGATTGGAAAAAAGACACGTAGAGACTAGGGTGATGGTCTGGACACAGTGGGAGCAGTAACAAAGCTGGGATTGTTTCCAAAAGGTCATTCCAAAAATTCTGTTATCGGGATCTGCAGTTAACGCAATGGCTATATCATTGGACTCCCACGTAGTCGACTGTGGTTAAAATCCTGGACCCGGCGGCTTAAACTCACGCCAGGCGCGTGTGCGTGCATGCCCAAAATTCCAAGAGGAGAATGGAGGAGAAGGGATTGCGGCCTGGCCATCCCCCCGGCGGGGGAGTTCTCGCTTTCTATCTCTCTGTCTCTCTCTGTCTTTCTGGCGAGCACACGCACCCTCTAGCGAAAACCTCTCAAAAAAAATTTCTGTTATCCATCAGTTGGAGAGCTAGTTTACCCCATGGTTTGGCCTTAAGGAGTAAGATTTGGATCAGTGAGAGGGAACACATGTCCAGTTATCCTATGGATCAAGAAGCCCAAGGAAGAGAAGCATGAAATTACCCCAATAGGGAGTTAGGGAAAAGGGAGAAGAAGGAGAAGGATGAAATGGGGACAGATCAAGGATTGAGGGGAAAGATGTTCCAAAGGAAAAAGAAGAAACTCTTAGAGTAGCTGAAATATGCCCACTCTTGTTTGTGCCTACAAGACTCAAGATTCATGAATGTGAATGTGAGAGTTGGGAACTTGTAACAGAGAGTGATGAAATTGGGTAGAAAGGCCTTTAGGAATGTGGCAAAGAAAACAAAATCTCTTCACTCTTTTGTTTTCTTTGTTGTGCAGTTTTTCAGTTTGAAAATCTGAAATGTGTCTATTTTTGCTTTTGTTGTCTGTTCTTTTGGGATCTTACCCAAAGACTCTTTGCCCAGACCAATATCCTGAAGCATTTTCTCTATGTTCTCGTCTAATAACTTCATAGTTTCAGGTCTTATGTTTAAATCTTTAACACATTTTCAGTTGATTTTTATATGTGGTAAGAGTAGGGGTCTAGTTTCATTCTTCTGCAAATGGATATCCAGTTTTTTTTCAGTACCATTTATCAAAGACTATCCTTGCCCCAACGAATGTTCTTGGTACCAGCTGTCAAAAACCAGCTGGCTATGTAAATGTGGGTTTATTTCTGGGTTCTCTATTCCGTTCTATTGGTCTATAAGTCTGTTTTTATGCCCAGACCATACTGTTTTGGTTACTATAGCTTTGTGGTATTTTTTGAAGGTAGGGGGTTGGCTCCATAGCCTGGAGGTTAAGGAAACTGGATTCCACATGGCCATTCATGAGGTTCAAGTCTCAAACCTGGCAACTTAAGAAACATGCTGAGCATGTGTGTGTATGTGTGCCCAAAATCCTGGAAGGAGGGAGAGAGGGAGAAGGGATTGTAGTGTGAATATGCATCATTGTGGGGTTCTTTCTTCCTCTGTCTGACTCTCTCTGGTAAGCTTATGTACACTGTGTCAGATTAGAAAACAGGAAAGAGAAAGAAGCTAGAAGGTGTGATGCCTCCAGTTTTTATTATTATTATTATTATTATTATTTATACATTAAATCACTATACATCATTTAGATTATACAGAGATTTTACCCAACATGATATTTGCCACACACCAGTCAGGTTAAGAATACTATATACAACATCAACAGACAACAAACTGTATCTATGTCTCACAAATGTCTTACTTCTCCATTTTTTCCCAAATTTCCTTTCCTGCACTCTTCCCCTCTTCCACTCTTCTTCCACTTTGTCCCCAATGTCCATAACAATTTCCAATGCTTTTATGTCCTCCAGTCTTTCAGCCTCTACCATAGAGTGTAGACAGTTGGTATATGTTAAGTAGAGACATACAATATTTTTGTTTCATAGCCTGACTTACTTTACTCAGCAATAAATCTTGCATGTTCATCCACATTCTATCAGATGCCAGGGATGCATCCAGTTTTGTTCTCTTTGTTCAGGTTTGCTTTGGCTATTCAGGGTCTATTATGGTTCATACAGCTTTTGACTGAAATCTTTTTATTTGAAGCAACATGGATGAACCTAGAGGACCTTATCCTGAGTGAAATAAACCACACAAAATGAGAAATATGTGTATTTTCACTCCTATATAGAAACCAAAACATTTGTTTCCCTAGAATTGTGACTTAACTAGAGACTGGGAAGGATAGGAAGCTGAAGGGAACAGAGAGAAGTTGATTAATGGATCCAAAATTACAAATAGATAATTGAAACAACTTCTAGTGTTTTATAGCACAGCTGGGTAATGCAGTTAATAATAGTTTGTTATATTTCAGAATAACCAAGAGAAGGTTTCGAATGTTCCAACACATCGTAATGATAAATGTTTTAAGTAATGGATAATTACCTTGATTTGATCATTGCCCATTGTATTCAAATACTGAAAAACCACACTGTACCCCATAAATATGTACAATGATTATGTACCAATTAAAAATTTAACATATTCTCTGAGATACATTGCTTTTGGTGAATCAAATTGGCAATTAAAAAAGTCAAAAATAAAAGGGAAAACAGTTGGACTAACCTCCCGTGAAGAAAAAAAAGTCCAATTTGTGAGCATAAAATGAGATTAAATGAGGAAGCATTTAGAAAGGTTAGAATCATTATTCAAGTGCAGACTGGGTTTTGTTGTTCTGTGACTCACAGGGAAGGCTGTCAGGAGGCCACCCCGCTCTGGCTCCTGGCTCACGGCAGGGTGCTGTGGCTCATTTCCCTGCAATGACTGTTGCTGCTCTCTTCCAGGGTGGTCCGGCCGGCAACCTGGAGCAGATTGACACTTACTTAGAAGCTTTGCTTAAAGAAGATAATCTCCTTTTCCGAAACACTTTAAAAAAATAGACACAGAACAATTCTCTTTTTCTAAAGAAATAATATAAGGACTTCTCAAAATGAAAAGTCAGAAGAAATATTGCCTTTTTAAAAAATGCTAGTAAGAAAACCAGAGGATTCTTTTGAAAAAGTATTTCTTTTTTGTGTGTGTGGTTGTTATTTTAAGTTTTTTCTATTTAACAAAATTGTATGCTTTAGAAATGGAGATTGTTTTACAGTTTTTGTATTCCCCAAGCTTATTTTGTAACTCTTCCTATTCTTTCAGAAATAATTTCCAGAGTTCTCTAATTGCTATGTTAGCTAGTTAGAAAAATGTGCATGTCAGGTGCCCGTGTGTTGTCTCCCAGGAGAAGAATGGAGAAGTGATTGTCCTGTAGGAATCCCCCACTTCTCCTGGGGGGATTTCTCACTTTCCCTCTCACTGTTTCTCTCTCAGTATTTCTCTGGTTGAGTGCACGTCCTCTAATGCAAAATTGTTTTTAAAAAGAAAAATGAAAATGTCACTAAGGTTAATTTTTTATTTTTACTTAAAAGACTGTAAAATCTTAAAACTGATTTTTAGAATCAATATTCAGAGGACTACAGAGAGTTACCTTCTCTTGAAAGTGTGCTGAAAAACGAAG